GGTGTCGACACCCGGCGAGCTGTGTTTGCGTAGAGCAGTCAGCTTTTGCAATACAGCCTCTGCGGTAAAATTGATGTGGGTTAGTCCTGGCGAGCAGAATACAAAGCTTGGTAGATCGCTTGGTGGCAAGACTCTTTGAAACGTGGGGGCGTATTGCATCTGCAGCGCGTTTGCAGCTTCCATAGCCGTTCTTGTTGGGCCATCAGCCGTCTTGAGTGGAGGAAATCCTTGCCTCACCTTTCGTAGGCTATTAACGTGCTTGTACAGCAGTTTGTGGTTAGCACTGAAGGTTTTTGCGATGTTCTGCTGATAGGCGGCTTTGTCTTCTCTTAACAGTTGCGTGCAGTGGTTACGTTGGGCTACGTAGTTGTCCCAAGTTTCTGGTGCTGGAGCTTCTCTGTACACTCGCCATGCTGCGTTGCATACTGTCATCCATTTTCGAGTTCTGCTCCTAACGAAAGAAACGGATTTGCACTTATTGCAAGCTTTTATCTCTGAAGCCTGTGCAATCAGCTGACTGAATTTGTTGACGAACTCGAGCCAGGCGACTTCCGGGGGTTCTTCTTCGAGGAAAGACCATGTTGTGGTGCTGACGAGCTGGGCGAGTCGGTCGTACCTTGTGATGGTTCGCACAGTCTCATCGTTATCATTCCGATATTCTGCATAGCAGACGAAGTTGAAACTGATGACTGCGTGATCACTGCGACCCAACGGGCAGTCTAAAACCAACGCATCAATCATATGCTCCTCGTTGGTAAGCACAAGATCTAGCACAGATGGCCTGTTACCAGTTCTGAACCGAGTGGGCAAAGTGATGTGATTGGAAAGAGGAACAGTAGTTACTAGATCTTGTAGATCAGTTTTGAACTGTTTTCCGATCGTGGCAGGGGCTTCTAAACAATGTACGTTGAAATCACCCATGATAAGAATGTGAGTGTACTTTTGTTGTAAACTGCACCTTAAAGCAGCCATTAGGTGGTAGTCGGTTTCGGGTGTTGAGTTAGGGGCGCGGTACACCAAGACAATAAGGCAAGCGTCCCTGCCTTTTAACTGCAACCGGCACCAAAGAGAGTCAGGAAACTGCGAGTCTGAATCCTCCACGGCTTCGCACTGTAAGTCGTTTCGGTAATACAGGATTACCCCTCCTCCTTTTGTGAGCCTGTCGTTCCGGATCAGCAACATGCCCGGTAGCGAAACTTCAGCGTCCGTCATTCCCGTGTGCAACCATGTCTCGGTGATACCAATGACATCATACGAGCCGGAAGCTTGGCGATCTTTCAGTTCAGCCAGTTTGTTAGAAAGACCCTGAGCATTTGTATACAAGCAGGCCAGTTTCTCGGTCTCTAGGAGCCCGCAGAGAGGTGAAGCTGTCAAGTGTGGGAGAATGCCGACCGATGGGAGGTCGGCAGTTACTCGTTTTTTTGATGGGTCAATGATACCTCGTTTGCAACTTGATTCGGCCAAGGTGCGTCCCAACCTTCGTTTAGACCTACGTCAGAGTCAATTAAAGCAGCAGTCAAGTTACGCTTTTGTACATTCGTCGGTATGCTTGCTGCTTCAGTTGCTTTAATATTTGAGCTGTGCAATGTGTTTTCGACCTTTAACAGAATTTCGGAAGGAAGATGTTTCCGATTTCTCCGCGATCGATCCAAAACATCCTTTGCTTGTTGCTCTGACTGAACCACAAGTTTTAGGATTCTAGGGCCGCATCCTCTATAATTCGGTGAGAGAGGTATCCTGGTGAACGATAGCGCCACAACATTATCCAAAGAAAGTGTTTCACGAATGAACCGCCACTGTTCTAAATCGTGCTTTCCGGTCTCTTGAACATCGTTAGAAGGATGTTCTGGCACGCCATGTATGAAGATTGTATTTAGGCGGTCTTGCTTGCTGTGCCCCTCTTCGGTGTTTCGTTTTGGTTGTCGCGCGCTCCAAGGGACATCAGGATAGATACGTATCCCACAGGATTCGTGTTTTAGCGCGCTTGTGGAGAGCAAAACGTTTTCTACGTCGGTGGAGGATTCTAGAGTTACTCGAATAAGTCTGGGTTCACCATAGTGTGGCGAGTTCGGATGACGAGTAATTCGTAACAAGTTTATGAGCTTGGCTTTGATACTCATCTGCATACACAATGAGTTCCATTGGTCTTGGTCGTCTGATAACTTATCCCGCAATGTGATGGCGGTAGATTCAGGGACATTTGAGCATACAACAGTCCGGGCACTGTTGTTGGATCCCATTTTAATCGATCCACAAGGTGTGGTACTCATTTGTCCTGACTTGTTGACAAGTGATTGTTTGCGGTTTTTCTCTCCATTTGCGTTAACGGTGTTTACAATGGAAGAGGACGCAACGGCGGCCTCTCGGTGGACCCTTGCAGCAATCTCTGCATATGTAACCGATGTTCTGGGAGGCTTAGTCTCGGCAAGAGATATTTGAGCTACAGGTACCAAGGGTTGGTGTTTGGCTGCTTCATCCTTGTTAATGCTAGATGTCAGGTCTAGTGGAATTTGCTTAACCAGACGTTTTGAATGGTGCCTGATTTTCGTTGCCGTGTGTACTGTTTGATTCACCTAGGTACAGTCTGTTTTCGACCGGCGTTCTACCAAAGTTGGAGAAGACAACGGAGATGGAGACGTGGCTGATTGCGGTGCAAGGGAAGCGGATTGTTTAGCATTCCGTTGCTTAGCAGCCGCTACGCTTCTGTGGTCCATGCTCGCTTCCATTGAAGTAATCTTATTGTTTATACTCTGCTCTGCTTCCGTGATTAACCGGTCGCATTTCTCAGCTAGGATAAGCAAGCACTTAACGAGGGGGATGGTGGAACACGCAGTACAGAAACAAAATTCATCTTGGGAGCTATTTCGCTCCCGTAACTGTTGTTGGGACACATTTGCACATTTCGTATGGTACCATTCCAAACAGTGCGAACAAGCCAGACCGATTTTTACTACTCGATGACATTCTCCTAACCCGCAAATGCCTTTCGGTGGGAGTCTCTTCGGTTTCGCCTTTCTGCCATTCAATTTGGTGTCGTTACCTGACCCAGTGGGTTGGTTAGAGTTCTGTACTTTTACAGCTTTAGGTGGAATTTCGTCATATCTAGGCTCACTCAGACAGCCGCCACAAGCCCGGAAAAGCCCTGTACGCGCGTTTCATCCTTTCGGGAATCATCAGCAGTGCGCATTCCATCGGACCCTTGGTAGGGCTCGAAACCGCAACTCGACTGTTGCCAGTCCGTGGTTGAGACCACTGAGCTTTGACAGCAGCACGCATCGGTCAGGCGGTGGTGGTGGTTGCAAGGTCAAATGAGCGGTCGGCGTGGTCGTTCGGTCCACGTGGTGGGTTATGCAGCTGAACTGGCTGACAAGGTCACAAGGAATGGCGAGTGACTGGAACCTGAACAGAGCGCTGAACACAGATTGACAGATCACAGATTCTTTCACAGCTGTGTTGAGGAACACTGGATCGGAATAAGCTTAGGCTTTTCGGTCTGCCTTGAGAATTCTGTATCGAATGGTGTCACACAGAAAGGCAATCGGCTCAATATGATTGAATTAAAGGCTTGCGCTTAATCACAGATGCCAGTGAAAGCGGTTAGTGATAGCACAGCCTCTAATCGTAGAAGATATTTCCACGTATGATGGATCACTGTGTAGAGCTGGTAAATCCGGTTCGAATGAGCGTACAATGATAACGCTGCGAGAAGATGGAGAGAGGATAGAGGGGAATAATCCAAATGAACCAGTAGCACGCACGTCACGTGTGTGTGTGAGGATGACCTTGTTCAGATATAGCTAGCTGTGGTATCCTTTGTAAGAATGCTTATCTACTGATATCCGTTCAGACCGTTAGTACTTTATAAACTGTGATTTAACAAATGCTAAATGGCGACCTCATGAGGAAACTCCGTTATGCAATGGAATTGTGTTCTTGTTTCAAAACCGTATTTTCCAATCTGCTACTTACTTCGACTCCTTCGAAAAGAAAATTCCAGCTAACATGATAATGCATGCACCCACCACAGTAGTTCGGGTATACAAGCAGGAGTGGGTGTGACAACAACCCCGCAAGAAAGTTCACAAATTGAAGTAAGTTATGCTTGACTGCATAGGCTTACACTTTTAGCATCATTTGTAACGTGTTGCGATGTATCAAGTTAAAACTGCGATGAGTTCTCTTGTGATCGTAGCCCATTCAGTATTGTCCGTTGTGCAAGACAAGTTGCCCTAAGCTAGCTTCCACATGTCACGCGTTTCTTACATCCCGCGTAATTCGTGTATCATAGCACAGATTTCACGCATCCTGCCAACTGTACCCTAACTAGGTTCGGGGCTTTGTGCAGGATCACCTCCATCCCACGACACTGTACTTAGCAAATCACAGTGTCCACGGAGCATATTTTGGCTGTATCATAACGTAACAAAAGAACTATGTTTTAACTAAATGCCTAGTTGTAATATGGATATCAGCACCTTGTAAAAGTAATCCCTTTCAACAATGGCGCATAGGGTTAAGACAGTGAAGCAGTCTGATGAGTGGCTTCCAGCCACAAAATTGCCAAGTGCCAAAACATTTGAGTTCTGATTACCAGCCCCATACACGCATGCTGGCTCCGACCGATTTGCGTGCGGCGCAAATCAAGCCATCGTTTCAAACAAAAACAGCCTACCTTGTTTCTCTGTTAGAGACTACGGACAAAACGGCTTGTGTTCCACTTCAGGTGTATTCGTTTGCGCCACACTGCGGTATTTTGACACCAGGCGTAAAATCACACCACTTTAACTAACACAGACGCCTCCTACATCATGAGCGCCTCCTAGATCAACTTCGGCTTGGATGTTGTTAACAATACTGTAACTGCACACCACATATGCGATCCTGTCCGTAAGATAATCCCGGATATCGAAGCGCGTCATTCATCACCAGACAAAAACCGTGAACTGAAGTATTTGGCACTATCGAGCATGGCACACATTTGTCCGATGCACAATACTCACCTTCAGTGTTGTAGGGAGTGAACTGAAGCGCGCCATTCCGGAATCGTTGGGAACCAAAAATGTCAGTTGGGAGTCTGACATGAGTAAACCATTGCAGATGCTGTCCGCCCGGCATTCTTGCAAAAACGTCCTGTGCACAGAAACCAGAGATCGAGGAGGTTACAGTGGAGTTCGCGAATCTAGATTCGTTTGACATATGATGCTCGTCTATGAACGAAATCTAAGTCAGCTGAGCCGTGTGTTCTATGGAAGGGATCGTTTGTGCACGTATACGTTCACTTTGAAGACCATCTTGGTCGACGTAATGAAAACTGCCGATGAACCATGAATTGGTTCATCGATGCATCTGTCAGCAGTATGATTCATCAAAGTACGTTCGACCAGAATCTTAGTGAAACAGTAACCAGGATACAAATCAGTGCTTCTTTCCGGTAGTAAGAATTTGGACGATTTAGCTTTGGTCTGATTTGCCTACTCCAAAGAAGGTCGGTTCGTTAGGGATCAATATTTAGTTCACAAAGAAAACCTAGTAATCAGTACATAGGAATTCGTAGTCGTAAAATTAAAAGCTTCTAATGCTCATAAAGTTCCACTTCTTAATTGTATAACCATATGTTGGTCCTATGGAACAAATTCCGCAGCAATATTGTGAGTGGACACAGCACATCGAGTGTGTTTGTTAAATGTGTCCTCGATTAGTATATCGTCTCCCAAGTACGAATAGCGTCTGGGGTGGTGTCGCTGTTTGCCAATAACAATTAGTGTGGTGATATTTTATGATATTTGTGTTGTGAGGTCCGTTAATTTGATGCCATCAGTAGATAAGCTGCGTTAATTAATCATAGAGGGTGTATTGTGATAGTAAGGAGGTACTAATAATGACAACGGCGACTCAGTTACACTAGCAGGCTAAGTGTGTTCTGGAATATGGACAAATCAGCGCATTGTTAACTGGGTAACGGAAATAACAGGATATCAACAGAGGGTTCACTGAACCACTTACTCGCTGATTCCACGCAACAATTGTTCACGCGTTTCCCAGACAAAGCCAAGGACAGAGTTAGTTTTGTGAACCACGGCTAGCCAGATATCCTCTCCAACACTCGTCAGCTGCGTTGAGTATCCATCATTTGTTTGATAGGCTAAATAGTGGGTTAGCATGATAGTCAAATGAAATGTAGAGAAGTGAGTGACATGAGTGTTTACCGAAGACAATGCACCATTCTATTTTCCTGAACAGTTGCCAGTACACACAGCCAGGTAACCTCCATTGTGTACCCACAGTATTTTTTGTAAACTATTTTGAACAATAGAAAACACTGGAAAGAGACCATGTTCACCAATTTCTATTGTGTCAATATTTGTCGTGATTTTTGAGGATCAAATCGGGCATATACCAAGTTTAGAAAAGTAATTTGCTTGTGTATGATATTAGTTCCAGCCACTCCAGTTGTGTTACTATTTTTAAGTGACTGGCATAGTTAGGGATTAAAACAGCTGTGCGTCTTGAACATGCCAACAGAAGGCAACACAAAGGTGTCACTAACCGTTGAGTGAGGTAGGTAAACCGTGTTGTTTATGACGGATGATACCTATGTCACATCGATCACATTGCGCCGTTATGCCATGCTCGGTCTAGCTGCAACGGGCCTAGTAGGTTCCCCTTTGTGCACGGTCCCGAGCGATTGGAGGAACTGAATCTTTCATTACGACTGCATAACGGTCACAATACCGATGTGGATGTTAAAAGGCTAACACGTGGTCTTCATGGTATCGAGTTTTAAGGTCGCCGTTGCACGATGGTACTTTAGGCGGTGCCTGCACACACAGACTATAGACATAATGCAGATCTGGCGAACACACTTTGACTGTCTCTTGAACAACCGTTCACAGAACGGCTTTACTGTATTGCACGGACTGAAACAACAAGAGATGAAGACGTGTTTTGTCGACACACCGACCCTGGATGAGACGTAGAGAGCAGTTGCTCAGCCGCGAAACGGCAAGTGTGCCAGAGTCGACAGAATACCGCCAGAAGTGTTAAAACACGACGAACCCGCGTTGGTAAATACGCAGCACCACTTGGTGTAACGCGTGTTGTTTGATGAACGTGTGTCACCTGCATGGAAAGATATCCTTGTGCTACCACTATACAAGAGAAAAGGGAGCAAACAATGTTCCGCAGGCAACAGTACGCCCCCAGGTGCAATCGACTACTCTCAGTTTCTCTAGCGATTCTTCAGCTGCATCTCTGGCCCCTCCGCCCTGTTCCTCGACGTTGACACCCACATCCTCAACCGTTACATGCTCCACCGCCATGGTGGGACAGGATCAACCAGCCATTTCGAATTCCGTTGGTGAAGCTTCCCTTGCGTCCACACCAACACCAGTATTCCGCACACTGCTGCTAGCGGCCCAACAGCTTCTTTCCAAATGTGCTTCGCTTGCCAAGGAGGAACAATCCACGCTTCTGAATCTGGTGAATTTTTTCGCTACGGATGGATCGAGGATCACATTTAGTGAGGATCTTAACTACGTATGTGTTACCCTCGTTCCACATAGATGGAGCCTCTCGAAAAAGCGCGTATCTACTATTCCGATACGAAATAATCAACACTGGCGACGCCCTCAATATGACCATATACAGCGTCCTTACCATACCCGCCGCAAAGATGCTGCAAATACTGCGATTGACGGGAGATGGCTCATCACCTTCTTAATGAGGACGAGAACATTTCAAGCTTCAGGGGAATTTTGGAAGGATGTCCTCTCCAGACTTCCTGTTAATGATGACCGCGCACCGCGTCGATTCCTTCCAGCTAATGGCGACTTGGTGAAACCGATTATCCTAGTGCGGATGCCAAGTGTTCTCAAAAAGATGCGGGGTTCGACTCCCAGTATAGACCGCATCAAGCCCGACGTGGTTGCAAGGAAGGATACCTACTCTGTAACTTCCTTTCTCAAATGTTTTGTTGCTTCCTGCTCATTTCCCATGCACTTAAAGGCAGCCTGAATCATCTTTGTTCCTAAAGTCCTCCAGCCAATCTCCCGTGATCAATTCCGTCCAATCAGTGTCATCTGTCTTCACACGCCTCTTACATTGTATCCTCTTTGATCGTTGGGTCTCGGCTTTCCCTACCGACCGTCTGCAGTTCAGCTTTCTGCGTATTGCTCCTTCGAAGCCCCATGTATACTTCATACTGCTCTCAGCCATTCTCACTCCTCTTGTACCCCGCTTTCATTTGCGTCAGTGGATATCATGAAAGCTTTTGATTCCATATCTCACCACTCCTTACTTCGGAGCTCCCCAGCTACTGTTGGATTACCTGGCATCGTAGTACAGCTCCGCGTCCTCAATATTTGATGACGTTAAGCTTCATCCCGATAGATGGGTCCGGCAAGGCGATCCGCTTTCCCCATTGCTTTTAATAATGTCTCTAGATGAAGTTTTACACTGAGTCAGGACCTCTCCTTGGATATCACCGGCTGGCCTGATTGAGTACCTCGCTTATGCGGGCGATGTGATCATTTTTGTGTGAGATCGCATTTCACCCGGGATCACGTTAAACGACTCAATCAACGACTGCAGTGCGTCGGCCTGAGCATCAATCACCTAAAGTCTTTCTCGGTAAATATAGTTGTTGACGGCGCTCACAAACGGACCATACTGGATACGAATGCTTTAGACTGTGGTCCGTTTTTATTCCCTCAATGTAGCCAGATGACAAGTCTAAGATGTTGAGCCTACCATTTAACTGGAAGGGTAAGCTCCCTCCAACAGTAAGTGACGACAGTGCAACTCGAGGAAGTCACCAAGGCACCGCTTAAACCATAGCAACGATAAGAGATTCTGAGAACTTATCTGCTACCCAAATATGTCCACCAGTTAGCTGTCGCAGTGGTTCATTGGAATACATTGAAGCGGTTAGATCGCATTGTTAAGTCGCACGTCAGAGAGTGGTCGTGTTTCCCGTCAGACACCTCAAGTGCATATCTTCACGCTGCCGTTGGGAATTTGGTCTGGGTATTCCCTGTATGTCCACAAATATTCCCATGCTGCGGAAGGAAAGGCTGTAACAGTATCTTGTCAATTGCCATCCAGTTACAAGTTGGGAGATCGGGGAGCCTGCAGCCGCTGCCATCCATCGTCTAGCGCGTTCTACTGTTACCATTGGTAATCGCGTCGTCATGGATAAAAGCTCAGCTGCGGAAGCCTGGAGATATGCTTTCTTCGCTTCAGTGGATGGCTCTCCCTTACGAAATGTACTCATGATAGCTTCAACGCACGACTAGCTAAAGGACCCCACCAGAATTTTTCCACGTCTTTTCAGTCGGGGTGTCCAACTACGGGGTGGTGTTCTTTCTACCAAGACAAGACGAAGTAGAGGCAGACCCGGCTTTTCTCAATTGCCGCTGGAGCTGCGGACAAAAGGAGCCTTTGTCTCATATTCTTTAGGGGTGTTACATCATGTATGATGTCCACTGTAAACGTCACAACAAAATTGCGCAACGTATTGCGAGGCAACTGAGGCGCCGAAGTATTACCATTGTTATGGAGCCGAGGATTCCAATGGCCACCACTTTCTTTAAGCCAGAATTGCTGTCAGTTAAAAATTCCACGGTTCACATTTTGGATGTAGCCATTTGTGACGCGTACCGAATAGAATGTACTTAAAAATGAAGCTGGATCAATATGAATCAAGGGCGAATGCAACAGCCATTTCGCAATATGTATGCGAACAACTTCCTGAGACGATGAATATTATTCACCACCTTGTCATTATCAGTAATCGAGGGATGATATGCTCCATTTCAGCCAAATATCTTACTACATTCGGATTTACATCACTAGATATCCCTGACTTCTGTGTTTCGACGCTTCGTGTTACTCTGAATGTGTATGACACCTACATGTGAGGTGCTTCATCACGCCTTACATAACATGCACCCAATCACATATGGTAACTATTGACGCGGTTCCGACCACTGTTTGAAGTTTTTATTTCAATCAGTGCTTCCAATTATGCCGAGACATTTGTCCCCTCTTGGCATTTTGCCGTACAGCTCATCCCTTGAGTCATACATGCAAATGTCAAAAATATATGTTAATGGTATCAACTTGCAGAGCTGTGTTAGAAAGGTGATCGCCCGAATCCCGCTCAATCGTCTCGTCACTCAGGTCGTTAGACCGTACATGACGGACAAGAAATGTCGATTTAGTTCGGGCTGCAGCACAATGGATGAGGTGTTTGCTGCTCATCAGTGGCAATGAAAAAATCAGAGAACGACATCAGCCATCGTACTCGCTGATTTTTGACTTCACAAAGGCAGTTGGCACAGTGAATCACAAGGCACTGTGGTTGGTGTGGGTACTTTGGTCGTCCGAGTAAATTTGTAAGTCTAATTGAATATCTGCACAGTAGTATGAGGATGAGGGTGCATCTGAGTGAATAAACTTTTAATGGCTTCGATGTTGTCTGGGATGAAGCAAGACCGTGTCTTAGCCCCTGCCCTATTTAGCAGGTACCTGTATGCTTTTGATGCTGTCCGTAATTAAGGTGTCCGTGAGGAACACCGTAGTGATGGTGAATTACTGAACATCTGTCGTTTCGGGGCAAGAATTCTATTATGTGTGACAACCATCCGTAGGTTTCAGTTTTTCGATGACTGCGCGTTGTTTGTACACAGCGCAGAGGAGTTGCAGCGCATGACTGCGCTTCTCGCCCTGACGGCGGCCAACTTCCGGCTCACCAACAACACAAGTGAGACTGCTAGTCAGTTCAGCCGTAAGCAGAAAGGGAATCCTTGTGTCTGCCCCAAATCCAGATTGGTAAGGACGTTTTGGAAACCACCTCCACGCTTCTTCTAAGGGAGTGCACTTTTAACTGACCTGCAGCTGATGAGTGGGTTGCGTATCTGTGCATCGAAGGCGGCTGCTGGATGTGGAAAGCTCGAGAAACGTGTGTGGAAGAATCACCAGCTGACCATTTGCACGAAGGTGATGGTATGTAAGTCATTGGTCCAGTATATTCTTTTCCGCACCACAGTGAATCCCGGACGCTTTGTCGGAAAGATGTCTGGCTTTTCGGACAGTACTTGTGTCGTGTTCTGCGCATCGGCCGTGATGACCGAGTTGCCGACACGGAGGAGCTCTGCCACAGAGACAGGTATGCAGTGGACTGCGTACTTTAACTGAGGCATCTGAGGTGGCTCGTGCATGTTCACTGCTTGGATATGACCTGGAGACCCAAACAGTTGCTTTAAGGCCAACTGCGTGGAACATGGGGTTCAGAAGCTAGGTTACCAGGACGTGATCTAGGTGAGGTTATCAAGAACTAATGTTGATTTCAGGTGTTGGGAAGCGATGGCAGTGGGTAGAGGCAGATGGGCCTTTGCCCAGATTCATGAGAAACCACTGCAACATGCGGAAGAGACACGCCGGGTATAGAAAAGACAGGCGTCGATTGTGGATGGCTCATCAACGCCGAGCGCATGATGTTGTAACACATTCGCTCGCGAGTGCCTGAGCCAAGGTGGCTTCGTAATCCACCGACTTCGGCACGCATGTCCAATATCGGAGATGCGACGAATTAGTTGAATAGGTAATCATCAGCTCAGCGCTTGATACGTGCGCTGCTTGCGATTCAACTCCGTTTACTAACCCAGGCTAATAATGCGATTGATGTGGCATGTGTGCTACATCATGGGTGCAGTTGACCTGAACATGTGCCGGCGTGTTGAGTTTCTTGTGTTGTAGGTCTTGGCTGTTGCTTGATATCCCCAGTGTGGCTGCGTTGATGTGAGTGTTGACAACGTGCCTACCTGTCTAACACCCTCCATCACGATTACTGGCTGCAGAAAACTGCTAATCGTTGGTGGGGGCGGGTTACACGGTCTTAGAGACCACGTTAAGCTGAAAGAGTGGTTCCATGCATCCAGTGTGGAAAGGACTACGGCCAAGCCACCGTCTTGGTTACGTCTGTCACGCGTGACTCCCGAATTAGGCAGGAATTCTGATGTGCATGTTGAAGCAGTGTGGACGGCCTCCTTTGATGAAACACGTCTTCAGCCATGTGCCTCCCTGTCATATTTCTTCAGGTTTACACTGGATATGTGGTGTGTGGATGGAGGTGTGGGTATGACAATGAAAGTCACCCACGGTCCCTGTGTAAGCGCAGGCGTCCTGTGGCTGTCCTACGGGGGCCGCAGTGATAGGCAACCTCAGACATGGATGCCACTAAGCAAATATATAGATGCGATAAGCCATCTAAATATCCATATATATTTACATATTGTAATGAGTACAGAATCGTTCCATTATTTTACTCATCAATAGAACTACCCACAATTCTTGCAGTTTTGATGGGATTTGGGAATGTTTTGCGTTTTCACGCGATTTCATCGCAGGGTTCCATTTCAAGATACTGGCTAGTTTCATCACGTGAATGATTCAGGTAAAATCGCTTGTGGCATAAAACTGCATTTCATGTGACATACATGCAATGTGGACAAATGTAAGTTTTAGACTAACCCTACCGTATGAAACATCCATCGCAATTTAGCTATGGCAATGTAGACAACCTTTCGTAACACCGCATTTCCAGCAACCATGAGGTGTTCGCGCACTTTCGCGAGGAGGTTCACCTAACTTCCAGAAAACGTAAAGTTCATTTTTGTAGCGGCTATTTGTGAAGTGCCTTCCATTGCCTTCATGCTGTTATAAGCGTCGATAGAGATTTGACTGAAAATGCATTCACCACTTACTCAGTCCGTCGTCAGCGGAACGTAGAAGCATTGCAGACCGTAGCTGGTTGGAACCAGATGCAAAATTTTCGGCTGGGAAGCCACTTTGGAGCTGAATTTTTGGCATCACATCTGTCCATTTTGAGTAAACCAATTGGTTTGGCAGATAACCGTATGAAAGGACCTACGTAGTTACACAAAGTGAGCTGTTTCAGACAAATCATTTGGTATCATTGGTAGTATCAGACGTTCGCAGATAGAATGAGTAAATAACCACATCGTTGTGATTGACTTCGTACTTTTATTTTACTAACTTTAACTGCTTCCTGAAAACAGTTCGTGCCTGTGCGTCACAGTACATACGGTAATGATCCTTTTACCCGCCAAAAATGATAACTTAAGATACCAGGTTCAGAAAAATTTGAGCCTGCACATGCGTTACGCAACACTGTGTATATGAGTCAAGTCAAAGGAAGGTCGAGCGTGTAATACGCTTGTTCCATCACAATGAAGCAGTCAACCAGGAGCTAGTCGAAGTCTTTGATAAATGGCTTTTTCGGTGCTTTGCTGCCCTTGTGAACTGAATCCAGTCATTCACTAGCATCAGCAGCATTAGATTCGAACTATGTGACACATGTGTAACTTCGGCTTAAAACGTAGAGTTCCATCTATTTCTGTGGGTGGACCTAGATGGCTCGCGATCTACAGAATTATGGTCATCAATCGGACTGGTACCCGGTGAGAATGCAATGTAATTGAAGGTAGCTAAAAAGTCTTTTGATACCTCACTGCCCATGAAGGAAACTATACTATTTCCAGGTTGGGTAACTGATACCTGTTGGTAGACACTGCAAACACCTAGGTAAATTAGCTGAACAGAGCAAAATGATTATTAAGTACTGCCTTTTTCGGTTGTATGACATTTTAGAGGCTTCTATTGCATGAAAGTTGGCTACGGAAAATATGACGAACGCTTTAGATTATTCCACTGTAGGTGGGTCGGTCGAAAGTTCGGAAATCACGGTTGCGCAACATCTTAGGAGGTATCAGCGAATTGAATCATTGTATCATCATTGTATCATTGTATGGTAGAGAGCAGAAGGAGAGTCCTTTATCAGCTCCTTCGCTGAGTTCTTGAACAGTAGTATGAAGTATAACTATTACACCGCCAAAGTATTTGGTGAAATAAGAACTTAGCAGGCATACAATCTCGGTCAATCGTTTGTGCATTACTGTAAGTAAACCATCATTAGCTTTAAACTGTACGCTGCCTGGAACTTCCTACTGTTGGTGAATGATTCAGTTCAGAGTAAACTAAAAACTATTGGTATGGGTATTATGAAGTGCAGCTTGCTCACTTCTGCAAGTAGAGTTGTATTTGCTTTTAAGTTTTGCAACTGAATTGATGGCACCTTTGACCAAGCAGCATCGGTCGCCAAAAGGTAGGTGGCATACTGCTCCTTTTGTCTGTATTGCTGATTCAGGAACGGCGCGTATCGGGGATCGTTTTGTAGCTGAAACCAGAGTTCTGCGCTTGTCCTCAGAGAATAATGCAGGAATAGAACAAAGGAAACTGAGGGGTAACTAACGCAAATACAACTGGGTGACACACAGGTGAAGTGGGGCCAGATGAGCATAACTATGTCATTTATCATTGAACCTGCACCTACACACTGCTACAAGACTATACACGACTACCTAATACATCAAGTCGAGAGTGGATCATAACTGATGTCATCGTCTTCACCGGTTGAAGACCCATAGAATACTAAACGTGGGAACAGGCATTACCTGCAGACGGTTAACGCAATGAGCATGAGTTCATGCCGGAAGATTAGATTTAATCAATTGAAATAATGGAAGGGGAAACCAGATTAGTGCGTAGACGACAAAGGATGTGGATGGAACATACCGTAAGAAAAAGAAACCAAATCAATAAAGAAAGTGTAACGAGCCAAAGAAGTAACCTGATTAAGGAAGGGACAAAGAAAAAACTAAAACAAACAAATCACTGTCCGAAACATGTTAAACACTTAGATACCTTGATAGTTAAGAACGTAGACAACGATGTCATTATCAGTCCCACTATCAAAAGCATTTTCAGTGTTTTGAATCACCAGCAGTTGCATGAGATGGTAAAAACAAGGGTGAAGAAAACTATGTTCTACTTCAACTGAATGTTCTTCGCAGCAGTTTCCAAGTCAGCTTGCCTCCTACACGTCAGCAAACGCCCTGCTAGAAGGCCGCTTTGTTCAATGTAAATTCACTGTATACTAGCGGCTTAAGCCACACACTAGCGTCTTATTTCACTTTACTGAAAATATCTAACCGTCCCAATATACATCAGGTCAACAATCCAAAGATGGTTTGTAAGCGTCTATTGCAAACATTTCCCTGTGCAACCATATTAGTTGGCTAAATAGATTAAGAGGGAATAATAACGCGCCAATTTGCATTCATATTCCTTCTAGCTTAATTCTCAATTTTTTTCAACTATATCTCGAAACAAGTAAATCACCAGTATTCGATATAGTACTTAAAACAAAGAACGCTTTATAGATAATCAGCTTGAGAAATCAGCATTTCAGGGCTATGTGTGGTACTTCGTCAGACGAACAACAATAACACAATAAAAAAGCGAACGAATACGAATGTAAACCATCTTACGTGATAATCAGGGGCCCGAAATGAGGGAACAAGTGTGAGATATAACCTGTACATTACACTCCTACAACTATTGCAGCAGCAGTTCTCATCGAGCAAGATCTTTACCACTGCCAGCAATTTAAGGCTGAAAGTGCCACAACACTCCGCATGCGACTGGCAATCATATCCTCTGCTTTCTACAGACACCAGGGTGCATCTGTGATATAATGTATGAAGTTGCTAGCCCTGCGGAACTAATGTTCTCCTGAAGCTAATAAGATTCACCTGAAAGTGCTGAGAGTCGCAGCTAGGGAGGCAGCTGGAACATAATCACGATCGATTCGAATGCGCTTAGAGGAACAACACGACCGTGCCGTTGAGACGCTAAATAGCATTACCATAGTTTATAATAACGGTGTCTATTCAGAACCAAAAACTACCTATCAACGACCTACCTATACTTGCGCTCAAAGGTAATGAAAGGGACCTTGAAGAAACATTGTCGGACTATCTGGATGGATCCAGTACGGTAGCTTCAGAACACCGTGACTTCCTTCAACACCAGCAACCTGCAACCGATTAACTAATTGCATTACATAATAGGGTCGGAATCGAATAGAAACGTTGCAATGTTTCTAACGTTTACGGTCGCGTGGATCACAGCATCCTTCTAGCAATAGTATCCCCGGGTAGGCCGGCAACTATTTTCCCCACTGATGGCTGCGGATGCTAGTTGGGGACGTACTGACCGGTTTGCTTGAAATAACATGTAATGTTGCATTTGGATCCGCGTGCAGCTTGCGATTGCACTTATCCGATGATCTCGCCTTCTTGTGGGCTATTTGTCACTATATGCTGCACACCATGGAGCTTACATTCATTCAACTCGGAGGTACTAACCCTACAAGGTGCATACTTATCTTCCGGATTATTCTTATCGCGTAAAGTCTGACTCATGCCTGCGTTCGTGTCGGAGTTTGATGCTGAAGCGTATGCGTGTAGCTACCCAAGTTTTCAAAGACTTCGTGGATATCTCTGCATCGGTTCGGAAATTCTTTCTTGAGGCGATCAAGGCAACCACAAATTGTGCCTCTTTTATACCATTTGCAGCATTTGCCTCTCATTTCGCAGTACGGCGCTGCTCGCCCAGCATAGGTCAGAACTGATCGATAGCCCAAAGCCAGTCGTCACACTTTGTGACTTAGTCAACCAGTGCATCGGCGTAAACTATTACACAAACAAAGCAGCCACATCGCTTACTAGTCCGTCCTCACTTGACCTTCCTAACCGCATTGCTCGTCTGCCCGACATACGCAATCGACCAAAGTTAGGAATGTAAAAACAGCAACTAGCTCACTGTGTCACGTAACATGTAGCAGAAACCAAGTGGATGTGAATCTGGAAGGGCTCCAGCGAATGTTGCCTTTAGTTTGGAAGAGTGTAACCTATTGGTCAAATTGGGTCTAGACGGCTCACACTACTCCAACTGATATCATCCAAAGTGTGCAACACTTTCCCAGGGAGCAGATAGAAGCAAAGCAGCTCCCAAGACGTCCTATGGTTTTGTACCTCGTGTTAGCCCATCCCATTAGTCAACAGTATGCTTAGCATAGTCCAACTGTGTGAGCACTAAGATACGTACATCGGAAGCGAGTGCGTATCAGTACAGCGCATTGAGCTTTAAGTAAAAATGGTGAACGATGCATTTCACCTGAAGCACGGTCGACAAGTCCCAATTTGCACTGTCTTCTCCAAATATGATAGAACGCCAGGCGAAAATAGAGCGGGGAGGTAGCACTCAGGCGGCATTCATGACAATGGAGATGATCAGTGACCGGCTGAAACGTGTGGGTGAGCACGCACCGTTGGTCCTAAAACTACTATCATTAGCAAATTGCGTCAGGCGAACACCAATGTTCTGCATCTGCAACTTAAGCGTTTCACATCATGTTTAAGTCCACCAAGACATCAATCGAAAGTGCAGAGATTGCTGCAAAGGTTACCAGGATATCACCCTTGCGGTCTCCCTTGTGACAAGCACCGCTAACGCGAACAGACAGACAAGCATTGAATCATCATCCCTTAGCAGAAAGCCAGAACCAAAGGTAAGTGGACCTTGTAGTCCAGCGGAAAAGAGCTGCAGCAATAAAGCTCTGAAAACTACATGCCCAAAGTTATGCGAATCTACCGCCATAACAATGTGGGGTTAGTATTCTGACGACCACATCCAATGGAATTTATCGTGCATTTTGATGAACGGAAATAGCAAACCCCAAAAACTAATAAAACTTACTCGTCACCCGAACTCCGCACTATATGGTGAAACCAAACTTATTAGACTGACATTAGAATCTGCCATTGATCTAAAAACGTTTTACTCTTTGCAAGCGCGCCACATCGCGGATCCTATGGGGCAAGCATCTATACTAATTTCACTGGGATGACCCAACAATCGAAATGAAACAACCCGGAAGGACACCGCAAGCAAGATGGCCTGAAGACAGTCTTCATCCATGACGCGTCAGCGCTTCCACCAAGATAGGCAAGAGAACGGAAGTCACGATTTGGAACAGTGGCGGTCCATTTGCCAGCCACAAAATTATGGGGGATGCGGCCCAAATATCCCGTCGGTCGACATTTTCCCGCAGCTGACTTCTTTTGCCCAGTGTGGGCTACCATAGAGTGAGAAATTAGCTAGCTTTTATATCGATTCTAAAAGCTTTTCAAAGAGCTTGTCAAACTGAAAGGTCGCAAAGATTCCTATTCATACAATATCATCAGTGTCGCTGAGAAACGGTTAACGCTGAAAGGACGGACGCTGAAGTTTCGCCTCCGGGCAGATCACCCATCCGAAATGAGAGACAAATGAGGAAGGGATAATTCTTTATTACCTAAGAGACTTATACTACGAGGACGTAAGGGATTCCGACTCGCGGTTCTTTAAATGCTTTAGTGTCGCCTACAATCAAAATGCAAAGTCACGTGCCTTATAGCCTTGCTGTACCGCCCAGCACATTCCACATCTGAAAGAGACTGCCACCACGCCACAGCTCAATGTACATCCATATCATTATCATGGGTAATTTTGACTCACATTGTTTAGGAACCCCTGTTACGGTCGGATAGCAACTCAAAGTGGATCTACAGGAGCTCTTAGCCAGGGTTCCAGTTTACAGACAAATTATTTTGGCAAGCACTGCTTGCAGAGCTCAATGACTTAGTGATCATGGCGATAGCTGCCAAGTTCTACTCGCCGTTCCACTCTCAGCTCTGCTATCTCTACCCGAGGGGTCCAAACCAGGACGAAACCGTCGGTCGTGGAATGTAGAGATGGGAGAGAGCTACACCGAAACCCGCCACTTTGGTGACGGTCTCAGTGACCGTATTGCCAGAGGCTGACTTAAAACTGAACCGAAGCCACAGTTGAGATGGCATGTCGCAATCCAAGACACATGGCGGGTGCTCCAAATCCCGAACACCAACTTCTAATCGCTGTGTCAAGCACTGCCCGCGTAGCTCAATGGCCTAGTGATCATGCCGATAGCCGCCAAGCACTAAGTGCCGAATTCTACTTCCAGCTCGGCTATCTATACCTTATGAGCTCAAACCAGGATGAAACTGTCGGTTGTGAAGTGCGGAGATAGGTGGGAGCCACACCGAAACCCTCCATTTTGCCGAAATATTTCAGAACAAACAACAGACCATATTTGGTGGGGCTTGTGTTAACCAATGAGGAACACGTGATTGAAGCATTGGTTACAGACTGCCCTTTGGGTCACATTGACTACACTGTGAGTAGTGTCAACTTCATCTGCTATGTTGAATAAGGAAATAAGGACCCTGAAATGTAGTGCACCATTACACACTACGGCCACTTAACCCAATTCGTCATT